AACCAGAGTAACCGACATAACCCAACGGATTAGTAAGCTGAAGTGGCAATGGGCCGGCCATATAGCTCGAAGAACCGACAACCGATGGGGAAAAAGGTTCTCGAGTGGCAGCCTCGTACCGGTAGGCAAAGTGTAGGACGACCCCGCCCCCCCTAGATGGAGTGACCTGGAACCTGGTAAGACATGCAGGAAGTCGATGGATGCAGGTGGCTCAGGACCGTACTTTGTGGCATTCCTTGGGGAGGCCTATGTTCAGCAGTGGATTTATGAAGGGCTCTAATGATGATGATGATGATAGATAAGGTCTGCATATTTTCTGGGACTTTGTTGTAAAAGCGTTTACATTGCTAACGAAGGAATTACTGATTCTTTGGAGTGTAGTAACTGGTATTAATAGCTTGTGCTTGTTCCTAGTATTTAGAGAATGTACATCACTATTTTTGTTTTTGTGTACATTAGATTTTCATAAATATACTGAGAAGCCATTCTACTTAATAGTATAAACAGAACAGAAACAGAAACTTTTTTATTCAATATAGATTATAAATAATACTTATTGAAAGTCACTCTTTTGTTTGATTACCACTGGTTCGAAAAAAAAAACCTCTGTCCTGGGAAGAACCAGCAAGAAACCCAGCGGTACTTTTTTTTTAAATAACAGCTTACAATCATGTAGGTTACACAAATTAACAACACAATAAATTAGAAATAGCTTGGTAGCGATCATCTCATTTCCAGGGGTTATTATCATCTATAAATTCATTAATATTATAATAACCCTTTTTATACAAACTTAGTTTAATAAAGTTTTTGAACTTTGAGCAGGTATAAATGTGAGTTTGTGAAGTTTGGATGTTTGTTTTTCACGCAAAAACTACCAAATGGATTTTAATGAAACTTTATAATAATATAACTCATTCATCATAATGACATATGAGCTACTAGCTGGCTAGGCAGACGTTTTTCTTCCCTCTCCAACGACCCTGTGTCCTATAAAAATCTTAAATTCATAATAAAAAATATTGAGGGACACTTATATCTCTTAAGTTGGACCAAACTGCACACAGTGTGCAAATTTTATTGCAATCAGTTCAGTAGTTTAGGAGTTCATCGCGGACGCACAATGTGACACGTAATTTTTTTATATAAAGATAATTCATAAAGATATTGTGTAAATTTGCCAAAATATAATGATAAATGTTAAGTTAGTCTGAAAAAAAATTGTCATCTGGGAGCTATTTTGCAGTGAGCACGCATCACGCAAAAACCCGTTAACCGATTTGGATGAGGCTATCACTGGCAGATAGCAGATGTTATAAGGAATAACTTAGGATACTTTTATTTTAGGGTTCCGCGATTCCGCGACGTGGCGAAATGAACACTTTCATTCCGCCGCAATGTAAATTGAGCCTAAGGGATTCCTTCGTACCTAGCTTGTAAATAGCTCGTATCGGCTCTCTTCTGCAAAACAAAGATAGTTTTAATGTCAGTCGCATTAACCCATAGCAAGTTTCCATAAGACATTATGCTATGGAAATAACAAAAATAAACTAATCTGTTTTAACACATGTAAGCATTCTTTTTACAGCATATGCTGTAGAACTAAGTTTGCTAGCTAGTTTAGAAATGAGGGCTTCAATGAAGATAATATGGTGGACCAAGCATAATATGGTGAGTGTAAAAAACCGGAGGCCCTTTTTACTGGAAATCATCCATCTTAGTCCTCAGGGGTGGCAAGCCATCTGTATTTATAATCGAGAATAAATGCAGATGTCAATGGGCCACAGCACTTACACCATTGCTGTGTGCTCGTTTGTCACCCTTATTCTATAAAAAAATGAATAAATTCTACTTTACGTAGTTATATTTAGCTGTCAAGACCACTAGTAGGACATAATTTGTAAATGAATATCCCACCAAAAACATTCTGTAAAAAAACTAGCCAAGTCTCGATGGAGCTGCTTGTTTATCTCTAAAAAGTAATGAAATCTAGACAAAGTCGTGCCAAGTCTAAGGTTCCTTACTGCGATTTCTTTATTATTATAGTTAATGTTGTGTGACTTGGCCGTTGAAGGGTACACAGGGTACAAAACCAGGCGCTACATGACACCATTGCACCAATCTGTCGCCAGAACCGCTACCCATTGACGATGGAAAAGTGCTTCTTGAAAAACGTTGATTGAATAACCAGTCAATTGTAAGCTTGATAAAGTTGCGTTTACACGTAATGTTGCACGTAATTGTGTTTACACGTAATGTTATATCTGTTGTAACTACTTATGTTTGTTAAGCGAGATAATAGCCCATAGTGGTATTGGTAATTGGACGCTAGTGTCTCATTTTAGGCGGTTGTTGATTGTGCAACACATGCATTCAGCATTCACAATGCTGACTTCTACTCTCTTCTTTTTCGAGCGTCAAATCGACCACCGATCTAACATAAAATAGACGTACAGACGGACTTCTATCAATGATTAGAAGTCCGCCTGTACTGGAAATAATTTTTTATACTGTTTGTTTCAGGCTCGCCTATACAAAAGTATTATTGAAATACGCAGCTTTATCAAGCCTACAATTGACTGGTTATTCAATCAACGTTTTCCAAGTGGCAATTTTCCATCGTCAATGGGTAGTGGTTCTGGCGACAGATTGGTGCAATGGTGTGTATGCAATATAGCACCTGGTTTTGTACCGTTGTGTTCCCTACAACGGCCAAGTCACACAACAATAACTATAATAATAAAGAAATCGCAGTAAGGAACCTTAGACTTGGCACGACTTTGTCTAGATTTCATTACTTTTTAGAGATAAACAAGCAGCTCCATCGAGACTTGGCTAGTTTTTTTACTGAATGTTTTTGGTGGGATTTCACTGCTTTTTGTAGAAACATGGGCATATTATGATTTATTTTATTAGATTTTCTTATTTGACACATTTTTTTAGGAGTAGTTTTTTTTATTATTACAAATCTTTCTTTTCTTTTTTTCCGGTTCTGATTCTTGTACAGTAGCAACAGTTTTTCGTATTGCCCGTTCGCGTTCATTATTTATTCTTTTAGACGGTTTATACGGTTTAATTTCTGAAAGATCAGCGCGGTATTTACGCCTAAGCCGGTTGTATTCGGTGATCGCTGAAGCTTGAGCTTTTATACTCTTGAAGTCAACATTTATGAGGTGCACCCCATGAAGATTGGTTACTCGTGAAAGCGCCACGTAGGCTTGGCCACAAGAGAATATGGAGGTGCCAATGTCCATGAGGGCATTTTTAGACTTAGACCTTGGCTCTTATGAATTGTTAGGGCATACGCCACACAGATTGGGAATTGTTCTCTGTACACGTATTTTTTTTTTATGTACCAATAGTAGAAGGAGGCATTACCATATCTCTAATACATCTGAGATCTGCTGAGGATACTTCAGAACTTCGATTTTTGACATCAAATGAAGCGGCCCACCAAGTTGAATATTTTTTGTAAAGGCGGTATGTCGATCTCTTCTAATAGTTTGGTTGGGCTCTTGTGTTTCCCAATCAGGGTCCCCAGGTACTCCAGATCTTCGATTATCCTAGTTTTTATAGTTTTCCCTTTATGTGGCCATTAAACCCTAACTCTGTACCAAATTTCAGCTCTCTGAGTTTATGGGAAGTACTAGTTCTATTCTGATGATCATGAGTGAGTGAGTGTCATAAATGCGAAACTTTGCTTTCGCTTAACTTCGGAACTAAATGACCTATAGACTTGAAATTTTAAATTTTAAGTATGTGATTATAGCTTACTGGATGACGAAAATTTCTGCGTTCTGGTCTTATCCGGAGGTTCTCAAATAGAGGCCTGAAAATGCGGCGAAACGGTTCCAGTAAAGGATGGTACGGCAGTGTTTGCTTCGCGCTCGACTTGGCGGGGGCACTGCCGTGCCCCCCGATAAGCTTTATTTCAAGGAATGGTTTTAAATCTATAAAGTTGGACTCTCTCTTAATTTTCTTAGCCGGTTGTAATTTTCGAAACACCCTACATAATGTTGCCAGAAGAATTATACATATTTTAATTATGAATAATCGTGGCTTCTATTAGGTAAGAAAGTTAACTATTAATTAAAAATAAAAGCAGACTTCAAATAACTAGAATTAAACAATTTCACATTCTGAAGTTTAGTTTTTTTTTTCAAAAGTTATTTTTTTATGTTCTACCATTTGAGTGAACTAAGAATAAGACTGGATAGGCGTGGCGTTATTTAGATTTAAGCCTAATCAATTTTACCCATTTATAGTTTATTTTTTTTAAAAAAAATTTCAATTTGTCTTATAAAATATAACCTAGATACCTAATGGCATTGCTCTCTATCTGTTCGAAATGTTTCATCACAACCGGTCCAGCCATGCCAAAGGTTAGCCCAGACGGACAATATCAATGTTGGTGACAAGATTTTTTTTTAAATTTAAATGCCGCTGAAATATTATTTCCTAAAAAATTATCATCAAAATCGGTTCAGAATTGACGATCACATCGCGTAACAAACTTACACGAGAATTGTAAGCCTCCTCCATTTTTGAAAATCGGCTAATTATAAAAAAATATGAGTTTGTTATGTTTTTCTTTATAGAGTATGGGTAAGAAACGAGCACACAGTCCACCTGATGGTAAGTGGTTGTGTGACCCATAGACTATTTTACACACATCTACATCTATCCTCAATAAATAATCAAAATGCGGAATGTGTTGTCACCTTGAGGACTAAGATGGAATGCCTCGTTTCCAGTAAAAAGGGTCTCCGGTTCTCTACATTTACTATACCATTTACACTGCTATTTTACGCTGATATTCTGTGGGAGCGTAGTGCTACCCTGGCCGAGACGACACATTCACGCTACAACCATAATACAGCTGCAGCGTGGCTCTACCACATAGGTTTTAACGTTACGCTATTATTACGTAAGAAAAGAAACATTTTCCGTGGTGTTACCAGGTTTACTTTAAATATTGTTTGACATAAGGTATATATAATTTATAAGAGAGGTGGCTGTCCAATTTCTTCGTTATCGAGAAAAATGTCTGGGTCGCGCTTGTACTTAGGGGGCGTGAAGTAGCCGCGGGCGCACACCATACCGTCGCCAGCTGGCGGTGAAGCACGGAAGTAAACGTTGTCACTTGACCGAAGGGCTCTTGACTCGATGCTACGCGCTTTGATCTGAAATGATGATTAAATACGGTTCGATTACAATAGAATTTAAGTTAGTTTAGGTAAAGGCACATAAAGCTGATCCTATGGTAAATAGGCACTGTAGGAATTATTTTAATATAATTAAATAGAATTCTAATAATTAAAAAATTCTTTTAATACTCAGACTAGTCCCAGATTTTTACGCAGTGTTACATTGTAGAACGGCCAGTTTCTGGGAATCTACGCAATTCAGGAAATGAATTAATTCAGGTCGTTGTATATTTGTGACTATATATTGCCAGGTGATGCATCGGACCTGGTGATGTATATGTTACAGTCAAAACGCAAAGCCGGTCAAAACCACTGTAGATTGTAAAAAAATCAGGCAAAATCAGTTTTGACTAAGGATGTTTGTCAATACCACTTTTAACTGATTTTTGCTGTTAAAAGTAATTTTGACTAAGACCGTTGATCAAATCCACTTTTAACTGCAAAAATACTGGGTGATAGTGATTTTGACCAAATTACATCGTCATAGTGTCACGTCAGTATAAATTTAACGCGAGAAAATTTTCGTACAATGATTTTTTATGACTTTGATGTCATTTAAGTCAACAAGAAAGTTGTGATAGAGTTCGATTGGCTTTCACGATGAACATCCATGTCGTGCCACTATTTACAACTAGTTTAATGAGTTTGAACGTGGTCGCACTAATCTCACTGATGATTTGCGTAAGGGACGGCCTTTTACGGCGCGACTGAAGATAAAATCAGTGTAGTGTGGCGTATGATAGAGACTGACAAAAGTGTGACTTATCAGCAGATTTGAACAAGCTTAGGCATCAGTATGAGTCAAGTGCACAAAATACTCCATGAACATTTAACGGTCAGGAAGCTTTGTGCCCGTGGATACCTCATAATTTGACAAAGGCCCAAAAACTCCGTCGTGTTGATTGGTGCCGTGAAGTGGTTCAAAGATTTAACGGAGGTGACTCAAATGCTGTTTTCGATATACTTACGGGTGATGAAAGCTGAATTTATTGTTATGATCCTGAAAGTAAGAGACAGTCTGCTGTCTGGGTGTTTTCTTCCGAGAAGTTGTCAACTAAAGTGAAGAGAGGTCGAAGCGTGGGACAGGTCATTACGCAACAATTATTTTAGAGAATCGAAAAACAGTTACTGCAGAGTGGTACTCTAATAATTGTTAAACTATTGTTAACTTGTCTTGGAAAAGAAAGTCTTGGAAAGTTCGGGAGAAACGATCTCGCAGTAGGATCCTCCTTTACCACGACAACGCCTCGTCGCACACCGCCAAGCAAACAATCGACTACTTGGCAACGTCAGACGTGGAATTACTGGGTCACCCGCCCTATAGCCCTGACCTCGCATCTTGAGAATTTTTATTTACTGTCAAAAATAAAAGAAAAATTTCGAGGAAAACGTTTTATGGACGCCGAGGAAGCAGTGGCTGCGTTTCAAAATGCCGTCGAAGAGACCCCTAAGGTCGAGTGGGCAAAATGCTTTTCTCAGTGGTTCCATCGGATGCAGCGATGTACTCGTATTGATGTAAATGGACACTATTTTGAAAAGATATAATAATACTAATAACTTGCTAGTTTGTTCAGTTTTTGATTTTCTAAGAACTTTCAGTGTCGTCCTCGTAGTAGTTAAAAGCAGGCTTAGAATAGTAAAAAAACACTTCTCCAAGAATGGGTCAGATGGTTTACATTACATGAAAAATTTACTGTACTTATTATATTGACCTGCTCAGCCATATTGGTAAGAGCAGAACCAAAACACTGACACGAACACACTAGTGATGCTTTCAATGATCACTTAGGTATGGAGTTTGGCATAGGCATCTTCATATAGATGTCTCGTAATTTATCTTGTTACGGTGGCGAGACCCACCAAGATGTCCGCGTCAGCAGAATATTCTTAGTGCAGAACATAGACAGATTCTGAGTAGGTAAAGAAAAATTGCAGTGTTTTTGGGTTAGTTCTCATGTGATTGTTTTTAAGCATAGGATTTTAAGTTAGTCTTAAGCAAGTTCTGTTAGCGGATATACAGGGTTATTTTGCAATAACCGGCCAAATTTGCAGAGACCAAATAGTGAAGAAGGTGATTTTTTTTATCTTTTAAATGCGTGACAATGCATTATTTTAACTTATTCTACTGCGCACGCAAACATTCGTAAGGGTCGATCGGCAGGCAAAAACGTTGCCAATAAATCACATTCAATTTGGCATAATTTCGAATAAAAGTTGAAGCCTTATTTACTCGTATTTTCAAAAACTGCAACAACGGAATATCATTATTTACATATTTGAACTTAATTTTAAAATTTGGCTACTCCTTGAAAAATAACCCTGTATATCTTTGAATTAATAAAATTAGTATTTTCAAAACTATACTAGCATAAGAATTTACTCGAATGACAAAGAACGTTCATTCGAACCCCATGGCTTGGCATCAAATTTAAGCCCCCTTATTTATTTATATAATTTTCGTGGTTTGCACCAAATGAAGATAGCAAAGCCCGAACTTTAATGCTTGACTACATTCTCGGCAATGTTCTGCAGCGAGAAATATTTAGCAAATGTTGTATTATCTCTACGTTCCTACCTATAGCTGTTTAACCTTACATTATAGACTAGCGACAAGCTCCGGCTTCTCCTGGGTAGCATATATTAATGTAGCGTTATTTAGATTGAAAAGTAATGTTTTCAAAGGCATTTTATTTTATCAATCTTGTGTAATATTATATCTTTAAGTTCTTTTTTTATAGGATAAGGGTGACAAGCGAGCACACAGTCCACCTGATTGTATGTGGTTGCTGTGGCCCATAGACATCTACATCTATCTTTGATTACGAATCAAAATGCAGATGCGTTGGCAGCCGTGAGGACTAAGATGGAATGCCTCGTTTCCAGTAAAAAGGGTCTCCGGTTCTCTACACTCACCATACGAAACACAGTATCGTTAAGCTGCTATTTTACGCTGGTATTCTGTGAGAGTGGTCCTTCCCCGGTCGAGCCGACCCATTCGTGATACAACCATAATATAGCTGCAGCATGGCTCTACCATGTAAAATAATCATAATATCTTATATATATATCTTCAGATAAAATATAACCTAGGTCACTGATGGCATTGCTCCCTATCGCTTCACCTGTCTAGGATTTATTAATATGAAATTGTTTATATTTAAGATAATCCCATTTCTATATATACGTTTTTGTTTATTTTTTTTAGTCTTCAAGTTTTTCGGATAAAATATAGCCTAGATTCCTTCTGGCATTAGCTCTCTATTTGTTCATGAAGTTTTAATACAATCAGTTCAGCCATTCCGAAGATTAGTCCGGATAGACAGACAGACATAAATATTGAAAATGGTTATTTATGTCGTATAGGTAGATAGGTAATATGAATGTATTAGCAGTGAATTATAATAAGAAAATGGCATTATTTACTAAATCTTATTCTTCACCTTCAACCTAAAAAATTGCCAAGCGTGGCAACCATGGCAAATGTCCCCCCTACGAGGTCCATGTTTAGCAGTGGACTTTTGATAGGCTGCAACTGTATTAGAAGTATTCTGAACGATTACTTACGTCGGCCATTACGTAGTGCCACCGCACTACAAATGTCAGCAAAGAGAAGATCACAACGATTGCGTGGAGAACGTTCATGGTCGCTGGTGCTCGTGTGAGTCTTGCCGAGAGTTATTTTTTAATTTATGGCATTATATGATTTTTAATTTTTTTGAACAATGCGACTTTATCTGACTGATTTTGATATGTGAAGATACATTGTTTTGATTTACATTTTGCATTTTTAATGTCAAAATGTAAAAAGTATTTCATCAAGACTAGCAAAAAGTATGTATATTATTACTGTCTGTCAAGGACAAATCCATCGGGAGAGCGCTATATCTGGCAGCAGACTTTTAAAGGCTGATGAAGAATCAATTTCCTTCACTTAACATTAAATTTATCATCATCATCATAAACGCTTATAAATGACTACTGTTGTGGCTCTACGGAACGGAACAAGTATTTGTATGGTCTACAAACAATTGTTCCGGGTCTGGATATTTTTCCTAGTGCAATTAATGTTTGTAAATTGATACTGAAGAGAATATTAGTGTGTAGGTAAAATAAATAAAAAGCTGCTGAACATAGGCCTCCATATATCGGCTCATTGAGAGGATTTTGTCATTGTCGTCACGCTTGGCAAGCGGGTTGGCAGCCGCAGACTTTTATTACTTTGAGTTATTATCAGGAAGACGTTGCTGCCTATATCCAGGTTTGTATCCCTATGTAGCCTCTTAAGACATCCAGGGGACGATATGGAGTGGTAGATATTCGTACACCGGAACTACATGGTTATAGGATAAATTAAATGAATGAAATTTCACTGACTTTTCACTAAAATCTCGTAGTTGATTAAGATTTTCAACAAAAATATCGAACTTTGCTAAATTCTGTAATGTTTTGTGTTCCGTTTATTTGACTAGGGTTGATTTTAAAAAGTCTATAAAAGTATATTACAAACTATTTTGAAAACTTATGACGGTAAGTCTAAGCCGTCGTAAATTTTTAATTAGTGTTTTATAAAATGATTTTTATACTTAGTTTACCGTGTAGTGGCGGTGTTTAAATATCTACAATCTTCTTTCTTTTGCAACAGAGGGAAACAAAAGCAAATAGAAATATAGAGTCTGCATGATATCAAATAGAAAATAATAAATCTGCGTTTACCACCCACCTGTTTAATGTGGAAACTATCGCAAATATCCTCCCTATGAGGTAGTCTATAAGGAGGCTATGAGGCTCAATACGTGGTTGAATCACGTTGCAGCTATATTATTTGTAGCACGAATACCAGTGTAAAACAGCAGCTTATGGCTGCTGTGTTTCGTTTGGTGAGTGTAGAGAACCGGAGACCCTTTTTACTGGAAACGAGGCATTCCATCTTAATCTTTAGGGGTGACAAAGCATCTACGTTTTGATTTTGAATTGAGGATAAATATAGATGTCAATGGGTGAAAGCATCTACTTAGCATGAGGTTGACTGTGTGCACATCGGTCACCCTTATTCAATACATAAAATGGTAGTAAGATCTTATGGCTTCCGATAGATTAAGATGCCGAGATATCTGGTACTGCAAGGCTAATTTTTTCGACACATAAAATTAAACAGTATTTCCATATGTGCGCATTTTTTGTAAGAAAAAACAAGCGAAACATACTCTTTCTGTCGCCCTAATTTAGTTCAGGAGCACTGACCCCGACCCTATTACCTACCTGGCCTTGACCCTAACCATTACTTTAACTTTAGTAGAGTAATATTAAAGCATTCATTACGAAATTTTTTTAGCCCACTTAAAAAGAAGCTTATCAATTAGTATGTATATTTATATATGTATGATAAGATGGTTTTTTTTAAATTATTGTCTGCAAAACAGGCTCTACGTGGTAGAGCCACTTGTTTGGTGCACATGGCTCTACGTGATAGAGCCATGCTGCAGGTGTATTAATAGTATAGTTGTAGTACGAATGGGTCAACTCGACCGGGATAGCACCACACTCTCACAGAATACCAGCGTAAGATAACAGCGTAATGCTGCTGTGTTTCGTACGGTGAGAGTGGAGAACCGGAGATATGGAAACAAGGCATTCCATCTTAGTCCTCAGGGGTGAAAAGGTTTCTGCATTTTATTCTTAATAGGGGATAAATGCAGATGTCTATGGGTCACAGCATTTACACAATCAGGTGGACTGGTGCTCGTTTGTCATCCTTATTCTATAAAAAAGGATCACGATATACTTAGAATGATTTATTATATTTACGCGAATACTACATATTACATGAAACTAATTTTACGGGTTTTATCGTGTTTAATTTTAACTTTTTAATTTTCGACATTTCGGGTACCTACTTACACTATAGTCACGAGAGGTCTGATGCGTTTGACGTCCCGTTGTTATAGTCAACATGAAATCTGGCTAAATATGACATGTGGTCTCCCTTACATAGGATAAACAAAAAGATCTATAATTCTAGGGAATTAAAAAGTTAATATTAAACCCGATGAAATCCGTAAGTTAATTTAATTTAATGGTGATTCCTTATATTTACGCAAAGGCTACACATTAAATGAAACTAATTTTTACGGATTCTATCGCATTTAATTTAACTTTTTTGTCACACTGTGTATAGGGAAAAGACCCATACCAACCGATATTTAAATGGTGAATCGCACCATGATCCATCACAGTTAGCTACCGTGGGAAAATATTTATTTCACAGAGCACGAGGGATCTGTGACAGAAAACATCTGGCCGCTGGGCTTCAGCATGTCGAGCAAGTATTGCAAGACAACAAACTTCGGGTCCTGCGGCTACGTCACAGTGACCGAGTGAAGCCGGCCACGGTCGAGCGTATGCCTGCTCTACTAACCTATGTCAGAGGAGTCACAGATAGCGTTGGCTACATCTTGAAGTGAGCTTCCATTAAACATACTTCAAGCCAACGAAGAAGATTTGTCAATTTTTACTATCCATAGCTGACTTGAAGCACCGACGTTCCGGGAAGTCTGTAGTTTGTGAACATGTTCAAGACCATTCCCGCCATTACATTAGATTTGGTAGACCACAAATGCTCGCAACAGAACACCGATTCCTACCAAGGATGATTGGGGAGGCTATTGAAGATGGATAGGTGATGCCATCTGCTTGGGATCCTATAATTAATAAAATTAAATCCAAACCCAAGTATACCAAGAAACACAACACAAACAAAACACAAACAAACACAAACTTACCGAGTTCCGGAGGTAGGGTCGACCACAAGGTACCGTCGGGGGGAAGTAGGTGTGGTATTAGTGGTGTGAGAAAGTGTGAAAATGTAACCTGACGTCACCGATGTAATCGGGCAGCAGATCCACATGCGCTGCTCTGCTCCACAATGTGCGATCACTCCAGTGGGTGTTCACCGTATTTGAAGTCAAGTCTAACGTCACTTAGCACAAAATTATAATCGAAGACGAACTCGATCTCCTCTCGGGTCACAAATTTTTAGCGTTCTACCCGACAAAGTAAAAAGTTAAAATGCCATACAATGCCATACAAGCAAATCGTCGATGCAAATTAATGTCAATCGAGAGACTTCAAGATACTGTAAGCTCTTTCTGCGTAGATCGGACCATAAATGAATATTAAAAAACTGAAGGTACCGTGACCATGAGTGCTGTCGAAACGTCGGTAATTATAAAGTTAAATTAAGCGCGATAGAATCCGTAAAAATAGTTTAATTTAATTTATTTCCCGGGTCAGGATATAATAAATTTATTTGCGGGTGACGACAGGATGATCATGTCTAAAGTGCGTGAGTCATGGATCATAAGGCTGGTTCGCACATGCATCGCTAATTGGCCCTTTGTTGGTACGTAGGCGCCGGTCACCAGCACGACAAGTACGCTACACTATTGTCCGCTCGTTACAATGCTAAACTGTCCATACATATTCCTGTCGGTGACCGCCATTCGCAACCGTTGCGAAGCTACCAAGTTACATAGTTTAATGCCGTGATTTTTTTAACTAATTCAAATTTAGTTGCAGGTTACATTTTTTAATTGTTACATAACAGCCTATCAAAAGTCCAGTGCTGAAATTAGGCCTCACTCATAAGATAACCTAAGGAAACCTCACGTAAACACTTTTTAAAGAGATCAGGATCGGTTAATATGGATTATGTTTTCGCCGTTTTATATGTTAATATAATTTTTAACACAATGTTGTTTAAATTGGTAAATGAATTATTTCTATTATACCGTCAATGAGTACTTAGAAGTTAAAACGTTTTAGATAATCTGCCACCTTCTGGCTATGCCTGAAAAGGTACATGTGTATGTTCCTGCTATGTAATGTTTATTTAGTTAAAATATCACATGTAATGCAATAATTAAATGGACAAATATGCAGTTATTATACTACTAAAGAGTACATGATTGATACTAACCCCTGGGAATGAGGTGATCGCTACCATACTGTTTTAAATATTTTTATGCTTAATTGTATTTTTATAGAATTAGGGTGACAAACGAGCACACAGTGCACTTGATGGTAAGTAGTTGCTGTGGCCCATAGACATCTACATCTATACTCAATTACGAATCAAACTGGAGATGCGTTGTCACCCGTGAGGACTAAGATGGAATGCCTCGTTTCCAGTAAAAAAAGGGTCTCCGGTTCTCTACACTCACCGTACGAAACACAGCAACATTAAGCTGCTATTTTACGCTGGTATTCTGTGAGAGCGTGGTCCTTCTCCGGTCGAGCTGAGCCATTCGTACTACATCTATACTATTAATATAGCTGCAGCATGGCTCTACCACGTAAAAAAAATATTGTAAATTAATTAAAAAAATACCACTGGGTTTCTTGCTGGTTTTTCCTAGGACAGAGGTTTTTGCCAAACCAGTGGTAAAACTAAATGACTCAATAAGTATTCTTGTAATGTACATTGAATAAAAATGATTCTTTTCTATTCTATTCTATTCTAATCCAGAATCCAGAGTTCACTGGTAGAGAATGCTAAAAGTTTATTAATAAGGCCTCCCTTGGTAAACCACTTTTAACACAATATAGCTATAATTAAAATAAATAGAAACAAACAACAAAAAAAA